TGATGGAGAGGATTTTATTAATATGTTCTCCATTTTCCATTAAACATATTATAATCATGGTAACATCTTAATGATTGACCCCATTATTTTGATTACTAGGGCAAAACAAAGATATTCGTTTGAATTTTTAACCAAAAATGGCGTAAAGATCGCAACAATGTTATCATAATAAGATTGAAACTTTCGAGAAAAAACTTAGAATTGAGAGTTGGACAATTCTCTGATGAACTAAACATATACCACTAAATTACAAAAATGAACTAGATATACTAAGACATGTGAGAGAATTATGTTAAAGTAACTCCACATATTGAATGATAAAACAAAAAATGTATTTGATTATTTACCACACATGACAAGTGTTCGTCCCTACAAAATTTTGAAATTCTCATAAATTAAGTTTTCAAAACTTGATTGTTTAATCAAACAAGTCTAATATATATGACTAACGAGACAACAAACAATTTTGTTGGTTAACTAAAAATATTCAATGAGATCATCAACTGAATAAACAACAGGCTAGGGTTGGTTTAATTGGCAACCAATATGATAATTGATCTATGCTTGGTTACTAATAGAGACAACATAAATGAGATCTTGTACCTCTCTTAAAATATTTATGATCTTTTCGAAAAATATTATTTTTTTAAGACATGAATTGCTATTTCAGAAAATTTTAGACAAAAAATTATTTATTCTATTGTCATGTTACACTTAATATAATAATTGTTTTTCAAGTTTATAAACATCTAATATAATAATTGTTTTTCAAATTTATAAACATCTTAATTTTGACTCTACACGATTAAGACCATTATGGTTGACACCTACATTAATTTGTCGGCGCAACGATACCGTGGCAAACAAATAGTTTGCATTGAGTGACCCATTTTCAAGGTCAAACAAATCCCAAAGCAGGTAAATTCCTCATTATGCCTATTTTTCGTGTCATATATTCCATGATTTTTCGGTGAACCGAAATTTCACCGTCATTTTTGTCAAAAATTTTCGTGGATGTCCGTTAAGAACTTATTTGTGGAGCCAGTTAGTCTCCAAGGCCAAAACGGTTCATTTTCAAGGTCAAACGAGCTCCAGAGCAAGTAAACCCCCCTATTCGTGTGCTAGAATTTTCGGTGATTCGAAATTTCAACGTATTTTTATCAAAAAATTTCATGGACATCCGTTAAGAATTTAGATATAGAGTCAGTTGATCACCATTGTCAAAACGACCCATTTTCAAGGTCAAACAAGTCCACAACAGATAAACCCCCATCATTGTTGATTTTTTGTGTGTTATAGTCCATGAATTTTTGATAATCCATAATTACGATGTCAGTTTTGCCAAAAATTTACGTAGACGTCTATTAGGAACTTAGATATGGAAACAGTTGCTAAACAAGGCCAAAACGATCCAAATTCAAGATCAAACAAGCCTAGAGCAAGTAAACCCCCCATTTGGATTTCCAAAATTTCGACATCATTTTTGTCAATTTTTTCGTGAAAGTCCGTTAAGAACTTATTTGTAGAGCCAGTTGGTCACCACGACCAAAACGATTCATTTTCAAGGTCAAACGAGTCCAAAGAAGGTAAAAATCCCATTTTGTTGTTTTTCGTGTTGTATAATCCATGGATTTTTGGTGATTCAGAATTTCGACGTCAAATTTTATTAAAAATTTTCGTAGACATCTGTTAAGAACTTAGTTATGTAGCTAGTTGGTCACCACAACAAAAATTTTCAAGGTCAAATGAGCCCTAAAGCAGATAAACCCCTCATTCTTCAATTTTTTTTTGTGTCTTTTACTCCATGAATTTTTTGTTATCTGAAATTTCGATGTCATTATTACCAATTTTTTGTGGACGTCCGTCATGAACTTAGTTATGGACCCAATTGGTCACCACGACCAAAACGACTCTTTTTCAAGGTCAAACGAGCCCTAGAGCAGGTAACCCCCCTTTCCTTTTGTCAATTTTTCGTGTGTTATAGTCCATGAAATTTTGGCAATCCGAAAATTCAATGTCATTTTTGACAATTTTTTTTCGTGAATGTCTGTTAAGGACATAGATATGGAGTCAGTTGGTCACTACAACCAAAACGATCCATTTTCAAGGTCAAACGAACTGTAAAACATGTAAACCCCCATTTTGCTGATTTTTCATGTGCTATAGTCCATGAATTTTTGTTGATCTAGAACTTCGACGTCATTTTTGTCAAAAAACTTTGTGGATGCCCATTAAGAATTTAGCTACGGAGTTTGTTAGTTAACATGGCCAAAATGACCCATTTTCAAGGTCAAACGAGCTCAGAGCAGGTAAACCCCCATTTGCCAATTTTTCGTGTGCTATAGTCCATAAAATTTTGGCAATCCAAAAATTCGATGTCATTTTGTCAAATTTTTTCGTGAATGTCTGTTAAGAACTTAGATATGGAGCCAGTTGGTCACTACAACCAAAATGACCCATTTTCAAGGTCAAACGAGCCGTAAAACATGTAAACCCCCATTTTGCTGATTTTTCATGTACTATAGTCAATGAATTTGGTTGATCTAGAACGTCGATGTCATTTTTGTCAATTTTTTTTGTGGATGTCCATTAAGAATTTAGCTATGGAGTCTGTTTGTTAACATGACCAAAAAAGACCCATTTTCAAGGTCAAACGAGCTCAGAGCATGTAAACCCCTATTTGCCAATTTTTTGTGTGCTATATTCCATGAAATTTTGGCAATCCAAAAATTCGATGTCATTTTTGTCAAAAATTTTCGTGAACGTATGTAAAGAACTGAGTTATTGAGCCAGTTGGTTACTACGGTCAAAACAACCCATTTTCAAGGTCAAATGAGCTCTAGAGAAGGTAAATCCCTTTTTTTGCTGATTTTTCGCGTGCTATAGTCTATGAATTTTTTATGTTCCGAAATCCAGACATCATTTTTGTCAGAAAATTTCGTGAACGACCATTAAAGACTTAGCTATTAAATAAATTGATCACCACAGTCAAAACGGTTAATTTTTAAGATCAAACGATCCCCAAAACAGATTAATTAATTTTTCAATATAAATGATGACAAAATAGTCAACAAAATAAAGATTGGATACCCGTTTGAATTGATATTTTTCTAAAGCATACCACAAATATTATGAGATGGAGGGAGTACTAATTATTTATATAGTATCGCTATTTTATCTATAATTTTTTTTAAAATTGTTATTTGAGGTGTTAACGTCAATAATATAATCACATAATTTTATAAAATTGAAATAAAAAGATGATAAAATATACAGAAATATTATCTTTATTATGAAAGTAGATTTGAATTGATAAATCAAATACAAATTATTATTTTTTTAAAAAAAATATCTTAAAATAAATAGAACTTCAAAAGTTCATTACATTTTTCATCTCTATCACCCCTTATTGTCGGAATTAGTTGCCCATACATTATATTTTATTTTACGTTTCAAACTATAATAAATAAACTATTTTACACGAATATGACTTTATAACTTGCCTTTCGAAAATATCTTAGGAAATTTAACATTACTCCATATGGACACACTAAATTCCAACTATTCTTTTAATATTATTTACATTTATATATAAGTCAATTTATCAATTTCATAATTAGTCAAATGATATGCAAAAACACTATCATTACGGAAATATTTTTTAATACTTAAAATGTTGCATATGAATGCACGAAACGTGGAAAACTTTCAAACAAAAGAAGACAAACAACAAATAACAACAAAATATATATATTATAAAAATCTAATCTAGATCGAAAATTTAAATTTATGTAAAAAATTAAAATTAAAAATTATCAACAACAAAAAAAAAGAAAAATTCATTTCTTAACAAATCAACTTAAAGACAGACAAATTAAAATTAAAAAAAAAATATTTTACTTAGCTAAAAATTAATTTTTGAAAATATCGAATCGGCCAAATACATAAGCAGATTCCCAAACTTGTTAAGTCTTTTTCTTCAGGTAACTCAACTATATCATTTTTCTATTGAATCATTGAACCCCCATAATTTGTTCTGTTTAAACAAACACGATTTTCTGACATGAAATTAGATTTGTGAGGGGTATTGATAGAGTATACATATTTTATACAACAGATCATTAATCCAATTGATAGTGAAAATGTTTGAGAATAATTGTGTTTTACTTTAAGTCATTTGAACACATTACAAAACAAATGAGACTAGCAAGGTTTGTCTTCATTCTTTCAATCAAAATTATTACAATTCGAACACAATTGATGACATTTACAATAAAAAACTGATCAAAATCAATCGACAATATTTTAAAGAAACAAATTATGATGATTTAATAATTCAATTAAAAAATAACATAATTGAGATATCTGAGAGAAAAAACTCAATAAATTTAGAAATTTGTTTACGTATTTGGCCTATCGAATCGAATATCGAACATTAGGCCCATAAAGAGGATGAGCTTCTTCCTAGTGCTGGCGCGTGTAGAAATGTTCCTGACAAATGTCTCTATGAATAGACAACATTTGTCCTACTACATATTCTTACTATTTCACCCGCCAACTCTAAAAATCTTTTTGTTTCATTCACTTTTTTTCAAAATTCAATTTTTTTTAATAATTAATAAAAATTAATAATCCCCTGTTCATTTTTTTTTTAATTTGGGGTTCTTTCTTGTTTTCACCGAACTTTGACTGTGAGATTTTGAGGAAAGAAAAGTTTTTTTTTTTTAAGTGTTCAAGTATGTGGACTTGAAATTAGTGTTTTTTTTTAAAAAAAATAAAATCTTGATGATGGGTTCTAGGAAGAATCAGAGTGTAGGATTTAGTAATAGTTATGATTATTCATTCAAGATTCTTCTTGTTGGAGATTCTGGTGTTGGAAAAAGTAGTCTTCTTCTCACTTTTATTTCACATCATCTTTTTCAAGATCTTTCTCCAACTGTTGGTAAGTAAAAAAATTCAAACACCCTTTTTATTGAATTTGTTTATTTTTAGTTGTTTTTTCATTTAAAGTTTTGATCTTTGTTAGATATATGTTGTGTTTGTGTTTTTTGTTTGGTTGAGTTTGATTGGAATAACAAGGTAGAGGTAGAGGTAGAGGTAAAGGTAGAGGTAAGGTTTGCGTATAAACTGTATTATGTGGATCCCACTTGTGGGATAATAGTGAGTTTTTTGTTGTTGTTTGGTTGGTTGAGTTTGATTCTAATGATTATGTGACATTGGCGGAGTTAGGATTTTGAGTTGATGGATTTTGGATTGTAGGCGGAGCTTGGATTTTGAGTTGATGGGTTTTGGATTATAGGTGGAGCTAGGATTTTGAGTTGATGGATTATGTATTATAGGGTGAGTTAGGATTTTGAGTTGATGGAATTTGGATTATAGGCGGAGTTAGAATTTTGAGTTGATGGATTCTGGATTATAGGTGGAGCTTGG